ACTGATGGGACTATAGAGCCTTTGCTTATCTTTTTATTTTTCGCTTTATTTATATCTCACTAACTATGGTAATTGTCTGTTTCCAAAATTGTATTATTTCTAGTTTAAGGGTATGTATATATATATACGAGTATATATATAAGTATTTACGTAGTTTCCCGAAAAGTTACGTTGTCACGTAGGTTTGTATGTTGTAATGCGTCGCTTCCTAATTTCTCAGTTTCCCTTATGGTAGACTGGTAGAGAACGCCGTTTTCTGTTAGTTTGGCGTATTAATATTGTTGGCGACCGACCGCCGAACTCTTTTGATATTTTTATTATTTTTAAATTTATATTTTTGAAGAGTTCTTTTTTATATGTCATGTTATTTGATATACTTCAATTTATTATTATTCTATCATTGTCTTTCGTATAGTTCGCAATTGCACATATTAATATATTATTATTGCAAACTACGTGTTTTCATCATTTAGACACCCATACAGTCCACCGATCCGTTATAAATATTTTATCTTTTATCTCAAAAAAGTAGATAAAATCGCGTGTAAGATCTAGTTCCGTATATCCAATGAACCTATACCACTACAGACACTACGGTCATACGATAACTTTATTACGATGCGGTGTCGTGACGGGTCTTACACTGCCGAACTCAATTTCCTACCGCATTTCTGCAATATTGGGTTCTTTGTAAGGGTTATCTGCTCACTCGAATGTCGGATCTGTCCGTTGATATTATTATAGGAAGTGTTATTGTTTGCTATTTGTATTTTGTCAAGCCAAGTCATGTCTTTATAGTATACTTTTCTCAAGTTAATTTAATAAATTTTGGATTGATTTGAACGATTTTAGTTTAGTTAGTGCTTGATTGAATTTTTATCTTGGACTAGCTGACCCCGCAAAATCCATTTCGCCTCAGAATTCTATAATATATGAAAGGTTTTTGAAGTTTAATTACGCTATAAACTTCTGAACTAACGCTGTTTATACTGACAGGTATGAATAGTTTGTATGGAAATACAAAATTGTTGTTTTCACTATTTTCTACGCAATTTCTTCATATTTCCTCACCACTTAAAGTTCCACATACATTTCAAAACCAATTAGCCAAATCCGTCCAATAGCCAAATCGGTTTACACTCGAGTTCTCGAGTTTTAGAGAGAATATCAAGCATCATTTTATTCTTATATATCAATGATTGTTACCTTTTACTTGTTAACTGAAATGCATACATATATTTTTTTATATAGGATATACAACATTTTCAAAAATGTTAACTGTATGAACACTGCGATAATGTAACCCATCTTGTGAAAAAAATACGAAATAAAATTCTCATATCGCGTAGGCTAGTGAAATTATTGATACAATAGAGCAAAGTGATATACTATAGTTATATAGAGGGCATCAATATAGAAGGATGTATAAATATTATGTAAAAATTAACAATTTTTGAAATTACTATTTATTTAACACGTGCTAAGCGGGTGTAAATAGTTATTTATATAGATTACCTAACAATATATTCAGCATCGCTTTGTGTGCATTACAGTTACATAAAATAGTCCTCAATACTATGATAATTGCTCTTATGAATGCGTTAGATAATCATGTTTGAAATTAATTAAACAATTAATATTTATCAATTATTCTGAATGTCCCAGTGTCCCGTGCCCTGTGCCCTTTGCCCTGTGCCCAGGAAAATTGCACTCAGATAATGCTATCTGCAACCAATGTTGTAATTAAATGACATTTAACAACTTTTTTTGCTCCCGCCTGCGCTACTGCTTTACGCTGGCGGGGCACCAGTGGAGAATGTTAGGATGTGAGGAGGAGAATGTGACAAATTAATGTTATAGGATAGTTTCCAGTGAGAACCGCGTAGAGGTCAACTTGAGATCAATGGGACATTGCTATCAATGGGATCATCATCATCTGCTTCTTCCCTATCCCATTTATTTGGGGTCGGCGTAATATGTTTTTCTCTTCCATTGCAATCAATGGCAGACCAAATTACTGACAATTACATCCCTCCTATTCAAGACTATTAATATAATGGAAGTGCTGGGTAGGATTGTTAGAAAGTGGGACGGTAAAATAATAATATTGTTATATTATTGAGTGGTCGCTCAAAGGTCGAAATTCGAAAGGTCAAAAGTCGAAGTTTGAAAATTATTAAATTTCTATTGTCAAAGCCTTCCTACTTCTATGCATGTGTGTGTCAAATACAAGTATACATGTTAAATATGGTTACTTATATTTTTTTTATTGATTTATTTTACTTTTTATCTACTTATAATTTAAAAAAAAAGATCATTTTGCACTCCTTCTCTATATAAATTATGAAATTTTATACTCCTCTGTTCGTGCAATTTTTATAATATGATGATATAATTTATGCATAGAGAAATAAAATATATACAGGTATACTATACGTATTTTACTAATCTTTACATAGTTTAAAACAAAGGGCTACCACTGTCTGTTATATCTATTAAATTACGCAACGAATTTTAATGCATTTCTTAGCAATTGATAGATTGATTCAAGAGGAAGGTTTATATGTATAATACATGTTCTAGTATAGAACCAGCTGAGATAGTAAAAGATTTGTGATCCATCCGTGCGATGCCTGGATACCCATTTAGCGCTGTTAAACAAGAAAAATGATCGAAGTGTATATGACTCATAGATATGGTTAGACTCGACAGACAAGTTCAGTGGAGGAAAGCTTGTATCTTTTTATAGAGAAACATGTTTATATTCTCGCTACTAAGTATTTACGTACTTATATGTCTTATAGAAATCACACGCTGTCATGTGGTTCTATGACATATTAACACAGATGATCCATATTTTTATATTTACTTTATACAAGGCACTGTAATATTAACAACAAAAATAAAATAGTTGATACACAATTACATACATTGGTCCGTCAACAAAATACAATACAATACAGATACAAATAAAAGACGATGTGAGTAACGTAGTGTGTGTGCATAGCCCATACGCAAAAATGTGCATCAGATGGGCCGTATGCTTGTTTGCCACCTATAGAGAATAACCAACCAAGACATTGTTGACTACATACGGACCAGAAGTAACCTGACATTGACGGTGACGCAGCTGGAATGGAGTCAAAACGCGAGTTTCAAGCTGTTTGTGGCCCGAGTTCCCACCAACATGCTGATCACCTTCATGAAGGAGGACTACTGGCCGAAGCATGTGGTGGCTACCGTGGCAGGTTACCGTCATCAGTGCCGTGATCTCACAGTCAGTTTATATATTTTTTTTAATGATATCATTCATATGCATGTTAGTCTGTAAAGTATTTATGTTATGGACCATTAGTAACCTGAATCAAATAAATAAATAAAAAAAATAAACGTAGAAACAATTAGTGTACACAAACTACAAATCCAGGTTAATATAACACGTAACATCAAGATATGCGAGGTAACATAACATGACAGGAGTAGGGTTGGGCTATGATTCGTGAATGCGTGTCAGTTCCCGCGGGATGGGATCGCGGAGTGACAGCTTTATTATCTGTGACCATGCCTCGCTTACGTCGCCATTGTTTTGGACGGTTAATGAATAACCTCTTTGTTGTTATATTTGAGTTTTATGAACTCTTAATGTAAGTTAGATTATCACGTTTGGATGAGTGGGTAATAAATATTTAATAAAAAAGAGTTATTTTTTAAGACGAAATTGGAACGTTGTCCATTTATACTTTCATTTTTACTCAATATATGTACGTTTAATGTAAAAAATATATAAAAATACACTTATTACAGCAACAAAAACTAAGTTAGTAAGTGACGGTGCGCAGTAGTTTTTTAATTGTTTTCCTTTTCGTTATTTTATTGTGGAACCTATTTAATGTTTTTAATGAAAAGAAATTTAATGACATATTGTATAATAAAATAATTATGATATCAATTTCAACGTTTGCATACTCCTACGGGGTGCTGCATGTCGTGTACTTATATTATATTGTAAGATCAAAATTACCATGTAGCAGGCAAATAAATAAATCATTATTATTATTATTAAAACATTTCTACATTTTTCACTTCTTATATGACTATAATTATTATTTATATATCTCAATTAAATCAAAATTTCTGGTACTCTAACTGTAACTCCTACATTTAAGTTCCTTTATTATTTTTTTACTTATTTCATACTGTTTCGTTCAGTTTTTCTGTTTTAAAAAAAAGTACATTCACCCTCGAGGACTTAGCTGAAACTCAGTGTTTTGCCTCTTGATTCTCCACAAGCTATGAACCATTTTGAATTACTGTAGCCCACACATGTTTATCCTTATTGTATTGCATTGTTTTAAATAATCTGGATTGTTCTACTATTTGTAAAGCCTATATGTGTGTACTAAGATACAAATAAAAATATTATCTACCTATCTATCTATTGTTTTCATAATTTATACGATACGATTACTAAGTCTGTGTATATATTATAAAATATATTACACATTTTGATAAAACTTTACAGTAATATAGTTTATACATTAGAATAAAACATAGGCTATAATTTAAAAAGATATGTTAAGTGTGATACAGACGAAGTTGCGTTGCTAAGCTAGTCTTTAATAAGTAACAGCATTTACTATTTACCCGTACTTTCTGCGTTTTGTTGTCTCAATAAACAGTAATCGTGACGGATGCATATTTTCAGAATATGCTTTAATACTTTGGAAGACCGTTACAATTAAGAGTTCCAAAAATACATATAAAACTGTCTGTATAAAACTGCAAGAATTTTAACAAATACGGCAGCTATAAATGGCCTACAACTGACACATAAAGAAACATTACTATAAGAACAGCAGTGTTTATAGCAACCCAAGCTGCCAGTATCAATATTTTTATTGAAGTAACAAAACGCAGAAAAAGTATCTTTAAATAAAAAAAAAAACTAAATTACAAATATATTTTAATTGTTATTAAAACTTAGTGCCTATTGTACAAATTTACGCGTATATTTCTATGGTATAGTCTAGACGGTAACTTCTTTGACTTTTCATTCGTAGGGTCACGTGTTCGAATTCAATCCCTCCTTCTGTGATGTTGATGGACGCCTCGGTATTCTGATAATCGTAGCAGAGAATCGCCTGGAACAGATATTTAAGAAGATTATTATAGCTACATAAGTTGAGTTTTCACAATTGAGTAGGACGGAATAGGGCGCCCTAACAAAGTGATGGGGTACACCATAGGAAGTTATGGGATTGTTAGTAATGAGGACTAATAAACCTATTGCTAGCAATGTATCATGTCAGATTGACCTCTACGTGGTTCCTGTTGGAAACCATCTTGATAAATTCATGGTGAATTTACCACGATGGGATAACGGACCTGACCTCATACTCATTTTATCATCCTCCCCTAGTGCCCGCCAGCGTATACCGTTAGCGCAGGCGAGTGTACCATTCCATTATCATCCATAAGACCCTATACTGTCTACAATGGACCAACGCTACTGGAGTAGAATGCTAACGCAACCTCGCGATACCGGCAATTTTTAGTGGGTAAGAATAGCACGAGGAAGAATAACCTGGACCATCACAATGCATTATCTATTACCATGCTAAGCAGACACAATATCTGTAAAAATGTAATGCGTATTAATCAACTGATATAAAAATATGAATACCTTTTTGTAAATACATACATAACACACTCAGAAAACACGCAGAAACTTACATAGTCATGTATACAAATGTTTGCACTGTGCGAGGAATTAAACCCGCGACAGTAGGACGTAAAGCGGTGTGCTAAAGTGCCAGATCACAGAGGTCGTTTATGTCGTAAAATTTATACGTAGTCATCCATTGAAAAAAAATTAATAAATTAATACTTTATATACTGGACAGGTAAATAAACCCTATCCACTGCAAAAATATTAAAATCAGTTCAAAAGTGCCAAAAATATTGCGTACATGCGAATATGTTCTTAAAAATAAATTGCCTAAGTACAACTATTATTTAATAATAATAAATATTGAACTGATTTACTTGTAGTACTGGCATTAAAATGTAATGAGTAGGTACTGAATATAGTATCAAGTACTAATCTTTACCTTTATCGGCCTAGAAGAGTTGTACTCGTAATACTGGACCCGTTTCTTCCAAGGTATAGCTTCATAGAAAACTCTCTCTCTAGACAAGAGGCGAGCATCTTCCTTCTCGCCGAAGAAATAGTTTTTACATATCACACACACTAACACACTCATTAGTACCACTAAATACAATACGAACTTCATTATTTAAAAAAGTTTAAACTCGTCAATGGTCGAATTCGAATTTTGAATTGTTTCTTTTTTTAATGTTCGCAGACCAAGCCACACTTGTATACTGACCGCTATCCATTATTTAGTTGACCTCTCAAGTTTTTATCACATCTGTCTGATATAATTATAACAAATTGGTAAACAATTAAACTACCATTAAAATACGAAAACTTGTGTTCTAGTTTGTATATTTCTGTAAATAAATTAGTTAATACATAAAAAAAAGATCCTATTAAAAATTGTTGTTAAAATAAAAGAAATTTGTAAATGGAATCTTCGAGAACGCCTAAAAGTCACGCTTCGATTAAAAACAGCAATAAGATAAATATTTTTCATAATACCTACTAATGTAATTTTCTCGATTCTACCTACTCAGTTTATGTTAAAATGTTCATAACTGTTTTGTTCTTCAACATTACCTACCACAAGTGAGAGTAATTGAGAATTGTAGGAATTGGAAAGAAGAGAAATTAGTCAATGAACTTTCATTGACTAATTTATCTTCTTTCCAATTACTATAATTTATTTTGAATATTGCGGTTTTTTATATTAATCATAGAAAAATGCACTTACATTATGGTTGCGTTATATGGTGCGAAAGAAGATTAAAATATTTTTTTTCAATAAATAAAAAAAGTAGGGACTTCTGTCCATATTTACTAATATTATAAAATAAAAACTGTCTGTGTGAACAGATGTTGACGACTAAATAAAATTTGATGTGAAGACTGATGGTACTTATTTTTTAAATTCGCATTTAATCTAGTCTATTAATATAGTTAGCCGAGTTTAACACCAATAATTTGATAATTAATAAATGTATTTATCTCTCTCATCGTTTCGACTAGGTTGAACTAGCCGTGGTCACGAGCTGACGGAGTCAGCTGAGTTATTTACCATAAAATTATTCGTGTACCAGATTAACTTATTAATAAGTTAGATGGTATCCACAAGGACGGACATAGCCTGTCTTTCATGACAAAATATCCGACATAGTCGCGGGTAACAGCTAGTCATCTCTATAGATATATTTCATATTTCTTATTTACAAGTTAATATCAATAATATGAATTGAATCAGAGGTGCTGTCTATTAGCGCCGATGTTTGTACAGTCGCCGCTGAAAGCTTTTAGCGCGTCAATTTGACTGACACAATCTGACGAGTGACGTCCTGACGATGTGTCAGGGTCGCCTCCATCTGACAGATGTTCAGATAAACCTACGTCAATATGTATATCTTTAGTTACACACATTTCAAATATAGAATATTACATTACTAGCTTACCCCGGCTTCGCATGGGTGTATATGTATTATACACATAAACCTTCCTCTTGAATCACTATCTATTAAAAAAAGCCCCTCCAAAAACCGTTGCGCAGTTTTAAAGATTTCAGCATACTTTGGGACGGACAGACAGCGACTTTGTTTTATACTATGTAATGATGAGCGCTACTAGACGTTTACTACACAGATTTACAAAAAGTCGTGAGTACAAATCTGGCGTACACAAAAAATAATTGTCTGTTTGAATTGAGTGATTCTGGCTGACTCTCTGGTGAAAGACGATGACAAAACAATAAATTAATCCAGGAGACTGAGGTAGGCTTTTTTAGTCTCGGGCAGAAATTTAAAACATTACTATGGGAATATAGATATTGACAATTTCTAATTTTAATACAGTAATTTTTTTTAAATTGAATCATTTCGCAGCCGTCTTGGGTAATTGAAATACACGAAACTACAACGGCCATAAATATCTATTAGTATCCATCTCCGAGTACCTTTTAAACATACTTGGTTATTGTCCTGATTTAGACGTATGACACTCGTGGGCGAGAGGGAATGTAGACAGAGAAAATAATAGAATTAGTCCAGATATGTTTGACACGGATTCTAGAATGTTCTAGTGTACCGAAATGGGTCTGTATTTAATAGAGCTTAGACCCATAAATTAGTGCTTAGTGTATTTAATAGTCCTTAGAATAGTATTTATAACGTTGTAACTTTAAAATGGTGTTTCTGCCAGTGCTAACAGCAACTGGCGGGGTGTCAGTGGAGTATGATGAGGATGAAGTTACGTCAGTTAGCCCGTGGTGAAGAATTCGCCAGAAACAATTCAGAGGTATCTTTCAGAATGGTTTCCAAGGGACATAGGGTACACCTTGTTAGTTAAAGAGTCGGTGTTCTTAACAATCTTTTGCTCCTTCGGTCTTACCAGGTTTATTTATAATGGCATCGAATAAATAGGCCTGCGCTACCGGTATACGGTACTTAAGGGAGCAGTGGACGATTAAAAGACTAGGATGAATTTAGGCCATTTTTTTATAACATTGGGAGAAACGAACTTGCGGCTCACCTGAAGGTAAGTAATTGTCGCCGCACATGAGCACCTATAACACCAATGGAATTGCAAGTAATTTGCCGGCCATTTAAGAAAGAATTAGCACATTGTTGCGAATTTACCAGGCATTTATGACGATGGTTTCCATGTGGCATTGCGCGGAGGTCGACATGTAGAGGTATTTTGTTAGCCGATTACTAAGGATTCCTTTCTCTTCAATTTTAGGTTTAGGTCTATCTAAGAGGAAACTTCTACATGTCTTTGTCATTATTGTGGTAGTAGGTAAATGCCTTGACCCCAACGCGGGTCAATTAGATGGAACTGGGATGAGGCCCTAATTAAGATATGTAACAGGGACAGTAATTTTGATGGAAGTTTGTAAACAAAGGTTCAGTGTTATCTTAGCATTTCAAATTATCAATCTCATGAACTAGCTGAACCCGCGACTTTGTAAACGTATAACTTTATGTCTGTTAACCGATGGGAATAAAAGAAACACAAAATTATATAATCCTTTAACAAATTGTACCATTGTAAATTAAATAATTGACAATATGTGAAATTGTTGGATGAAATTTTGGATTTGTCATTTCGTAGTAGAAACTGTTAGAACATGAGAGCTGAGAGGACAGTTGATACTTAGAAAAAGTTAGAAAACTTGACGAAAGAGATTTAAAAAAGGCAAATTTATACTAAAAATAAAAGTACGCAGGCGTTTCTTTTTTTATGTATATTTGTTTACCACGACTATACAAAGCTGAATGGATCAAATTAGGAAGATAAATTGTATCATTGTATTTATTATCTCAGAAAAACCGGTGGATTTAGCGTACAACAGCTAGTATTATAAATGCAACAGCGGCAAACGTTTGATAGGCTAGCGGTTTAGCACACAGCTATTCTATGGTCTCGGGTTCGATTATTTCTCGCACGGTACAAACATTTGTATTCATGAGTATGTTTGTATCGGTATGGGTGTTTTCTAGGAATATTGTATATGGATTTTAAAAAAATGTAGGTATTTATATCAGTTGTCTAGTACCCATAACGCATGCTCTGCTTGGAACTAGGTGACGCTTTGTGAATTCTCCAGGGGATATTATATTATATGTTTGCCTGTTTGTTACCTTTTTAAGACTTAACTGCTCATAAAATCTTAATGAATTTTGACTTGCAGATATATTGTATAAAGAAGACAGATACAGACAATCTTTAATATCAAACGCAAGCAAATTCGTAGCTAATATTAGTTATACTTATGTATCTAACAACAAATTTACAGATTAAAATCCAGATTAAATCCTCACAGAGAATAATCACTTAAGTTCCATTTAGTATTCATTGGTCCATTGCAATCCACGATTAATCCACGTTTAGTTCACGATTAATTAATTAAAACGGGTTTAAAGATCACGGCACGAGTTAGTGGGACGCGGAGTGATCAGACACGCCGGCACAGAACGCAGGCCAGTACTGCGTGCACCCATTAAATTGAAGAACTAAATTGTTGCGTGAATTGCCTGTAGGGTTGGCAATTGTGAAATTGCGGACCCAATCCAAACGATTCCAACATCACTGCGACAACCGCAATGAAATTACAGAATAGGAGGCGTGACATCTTGTAGGGTGTAGATTAGGCAGTAAAATTATAGGAGACATGACATCTTTGACCTTTAACTTGCAGCCTTCCTTTATAAATGTGTTATTCAACCATTAAAAAAATTAAAATCAGATCAGTATTACTGTAGATTATCCTGACTATCCTAATTCCAACCCTTTTCTTCTTTATAACATTAATATAGACGCTATAGATGTATCTGAAAGGATATTTAAAGTTCATTTTTTATATATATAAGTTGTGTTTGGTTATAAACAAGTTTTCTAACATCCTCGATAAATTGAGTTTATTAATATCTGAAAGAGACCTCGGTAAAGTTGCCTTTAATATTAAATATTAATGTTTGTAGTACTGGACCCCTTGACTACTCAATTCAAAAGTGTAGAAAAACATCTATATTTAAAAGTATCAAAAATAAGTTAATCCATCGACTAATTTCTAGTTTTGCTGACTCAATTCAGTATTGGGAGCTCGATATCTTCGAGGCTATCTTCCACTGGGCTTCAGCATGTACCGTTAGCGCAGGAGGGTGCACTATTCCATTATCCATATAAAATATTGCTTTAAACGATAAGACGTTTTGTTTAGCACAATTATGTAAAGTTCCTTATTTATAAATATCTTTCTGTGCACAATAAAGAATTACATTATTATTATGATCAACAAAGAAAACGTAATTAGTTTGGTCATTTCAGAATGTAAATAGATAGATAGATAATTCATTTATTGCCAACATAACCCAACAAATTACAAATAATACACAAAATAAGAAATAAAAAATAACATACGAAGTTGGCAATAGGAGTTGCCTCAGCTGTTGCTGATATAAGTACAACCTCAATGAGGTGCACCTATACAGCGCTGGTTTTAAGGCAGCAATTAAATTACCCATTAGAAAAAATACTATAATGAGGTTTTATTTAATTAACTAGCTGACTCACGGAACTTTGTCTACGTTTCATTTCCCCACCTTTTTCAATATTTTTCATTGCAGCTCCGCTTCTATTGGTCGTAGCGTAATGTTATATAGCTTAAAGCCTTCCTCGACAAATGGACTATTCAACACAAAAATAATTTTTCAATTCGAACCAGTAGTTCCTGAGATTAGCGCGTTCAAACAAACAAACTCTTCAGCTTTATAATGTTATATTATTGTAAGTATAGATGGTCACTATATACATACAGTTTGCATTGATTGCGTGACACCCCTGAACGTACGATGCACTGCAATTGTGTTAATCCACGTTTATTACCATGTCAACATGTGATTTCTTTTATTTTCAGGCAGATTGTCGTTGTCAGTGGCGTAACCACGGAGATGATTTACATTTATGTTATTATTACATATCTATGTTAGTCTGTAAGGTATTTATAATATGAGCCATTAGTAGCCTGAAATAAATAAATAAAAAAAAAATACCATCAAATATTACACAACGGTAAATAGTCTGTATCATAAAATACGTGTCGTAGGAGACAAATGGTTCACATGATGGATAGTGATTATCGATGTTCATAAGCACCTCCAACACCAAGGGAATTGCGAGTATGTATATTGCCAGCCTTTTAAGAAGGAATAAACCTTTTCTTGAAGATTTCAATTTTGTATCGGTTCGGAAATATTGCTGGTCGGTAAATTCAAATTCAAAATATCTTTATTCATGTAGGTCTATTACAGATTCTTATGATATGTCAAATCTACCGTCAGTTCGGAATGATTTCGAGATGAGAAGAACTGACAAGAAACTCAGCTCGTATGTTTTTTTTAAATGTTGTACATAATTACAATTATATAATTTCATAAATTCAAATTTGGGAGAATAGAGTTACCACCAGCATATGGTATTGAAAAAAAAAAAAAACGAAAAATCTAATCAGTGATCACAACCTGAACAGACCAGTCCCCACGAGCAGCACCCGTTCACGAGTATGACGGCTGAGCCAGCCATCATTGCACTCAACCATATTAGAGGGAGCATATCGACCCGATCCACCAATCCGCCACAAGTTTGAACTTTATAGCGAGCATGACTGTTTCAAGTTACTCCACTACGTCATTTATATTATTTACAGCATAAACTGTACCAATCACAGTTTTCAACCATTACAATATTTAATTTACATTACTTAAATTACAATATGTCATTACTAAATTTAGAATAAGTTTCTTTAGTGTTTAGTTATCCCAATCAGTTATTAATATTATAATTGTTTATTTGTTACAGATGTGTGCCCATGGTGATGCGATGATCGAACTGTGAGCTATGACTTCATAGAAGCGGATCTACTCGTATTTTGCGGTCAGTGTGTTCTTTATAAACCAATGCGTAATCATCGCCATTTAAATGTAACAAATAAAACTATATATGTACACTTCGATGACGATCAACACTTGAGTCAATTGTACTTTGTTAATGGGAAAATTGAATATTAAATTAAATTAGATGACATTCAATTTAAATAATAACATTTGTGGTTAGCTTATTAGTGTTCTGTTCAGTTCCTGATTTGTTATTGTAGCTAAGCAGTGAATAAGTGGATCCTTTGTTTAAAACTTATATGCCGAGGTTCCTAGGACTTCCTCTCTAAGATTTCACGGGAAATTAAAATAAATGAAACCTGGTAAGATCCCGTGATTTGTCTTAATTTTATGTATTTTTTTTTTATTTATTGTTCTTGTTACAATCCTACTATTTTATTTATTTACATATAATCTTACAGTACGATTATTTATAGTTGATTATGGCATACAAAGTGCGGTACGGCAACTATAAAAGTTATATAAAAAATCTTAATCTGTTTTTTATTATTCTTATGCTTATTATCTATTACTGCGTGTATATGTGTGCATGCGTGTGTGTCTATGTGTGTGTGGGTGTGTGTTTTTTTTTTTTTAGAGGATGATAATGGAATGGTGCACCCGCCTGCGCTAACGGTTTACGCTGGCGGGGTACCAGTGGAGGATGATAGGATGAACATGAAGTCAGATCAGTTAGCCCATCGTGACAAATTCACCGGAAATTTATCACGATGGTTTCCAGGGAGAACCGCGTGGAGGTCGACCTGACATGGTACATTGCTAGCAATAGGATCATTAGTCCACATTACTAACAATCACCTTCCCCCCTGTGGGTGTGTGTTTGTACGTATAAATAACAGCGTCATTTTTTTCTGACTACTCAAATGCTGTTGGCCGCAGCTGGCCTTTACAGCTTCACCGGGCGAGTTGACAATGTAAATCCGAAATACAGCTTTCAGAGGACATCGTAGTCATCGATTTTGTATGAAGTCTACTTCTGATACCACTACTACTATTTAATACTTTAAAATATTATGAAAGGAGAGGTGAGAAATATTGAATTACAATAGAATAGATAATTTAAAATCATCATAATATTATGTAAAACCATTGCCGTCCTAAAATAACAATGTTGACCAATATGGTGTTAAATAAATTCTTTAGTGAGGGGACACTCGTTATCCGATATTTATCGACTAGATTTGCCCTAGTACCACACCGGCTGTTTAACATGTATGACTTTGCTTTATTGTCAATAATTTCTGCAACGTACGCGATATAAAGATTATATTCATATGTTGGGTTGTATTATTGTTTTCATATGGATTCCTAATTGTTTTTTAAATATTCTATAGTGTATGTTCATCAGGTATAATGTAGGATACTAATGAGAAAAGAACTTTTCAAATCGATCAGTATGATTGTATAGATTCTATATTGTAGATTATATACATTGTATTTGGTGTTGTAGGATTATAAATTGTTGTTTTTTTTACTTCGATTTTCCTGCCAGACAGGCAGGAAATTAGTGTTATTAAATCTTTATATAGTATAAAATGAAGTCGCTTCCGGTATCTGTTCGCTTAGATCTTTTAAACTATGCAACGGATTTTAATGTAGTTTTTAGTAATAGATTGAGTGACTCAAGAGGAAGGTTTATATATATAATACTAGTAGAAATATTTGTAAAATGACAAAATGCTAAGATAAATTCCTTCAACAGTTCCAGTTAAGTTTATAAATTAATAAACGTCATATCATATCTATTATTTTAAAATATAACTTGCAGATTTTATAACTGTCTTTATGTTCTCTTTTTCAAATCGATATATATCATTTAAATTTTAAATCGATAGATGCTTTGCAAAAATTTGCACATCCCTCATGTTAGATGCCAGATGTTGGCTGGGCATTCGCAGAGAAGTGCTAATTTGATTGGCATCTGTTTGAAAACGTGTTGAATATTCAAATTGGTTTTCGATAGATAACATTAGATGACCATTGTTAGAATTATTATGAAATAGGAGTGATAATTCACCTAGTTGTGATTTTTTGATAAAACTTTAGGTTCACTTGTTATCGTATGTTAGGATAAAAATATATTTCTTCTGTATATAAATTTTAATTCAAAATTGCTGCTTTATTTAATTGAAATAACAACAATTTGCATATTCAACTAATCAATATTTAAAAATTTGCAAGGATAAAGATACAATACGAATTTTACGGAAGTGTTAATAAACAAGTCATTAAATCTTTTTATCTATTATATGCTTAAGTCAAGCTAAGGATCTATAATTACACTTACCGAACTGTGGGAGGTATACGCATGCTCAGATCTTCCTATAATGCTGTTCTACATTTTATGATAATACTAGCGAACAGACCCGGCTTCGCACGGATGCATTATAAATCTTTGAATTTATTTTGTTGTTTGTTCTATACTATAACACGAATGTATTATACATATAAACCTTCCTCTTGAATCACTCTATCTATTGCTGAAAATTGCAATAAAATCCTTTGCATAATTTAAAAGATATAAACGAACAGACAGCGGCGTCAACTATATAAAGATAACAAACCGACGATCTGATTGTAATTGGTAACCATCTTCTTAGTACATGAAGAGCATTATGGCCATCATATTATGACTGTCTAGTCTTTCGGATGAGTTACAGGTAGGTCTTATGGATAATAGTGAAATGGTGCACTCGCCTGTGCTAACGGTTTACGCTGGCGGGGCACCAGTGGAGGATGATAAAATGAACATGAGGTCAGGTCAGTTCACCCATCGTGATAAATTCACTATGAATTTATAACCACGTGGAGGTCAACCTGACATGGTACTCTAGCAATTAACAAATTTATCGCGATGGTTTTCAGGGAGAACCACGTTGAAGTCAACCTGAGATGGTAAATTGCTAGAAATGGGGTTATTAGTCCACATTACTGTCTCCTTCGTCCCCTCATATATCGGTGCCTCTTCTATTGTAAGCAATTAACAAATTTATCGCGATGGTTTGCAAGGGGAACCACGTGGAGGTCAACCGAACATCGTACATTGTTAACATTGGAGTTATTAGTCCAGATTGCTAACAATCCACTACGTCTCCTCATAGGTAGGTGCTTCTTATGATGTAACTACATGGTGCCGTGTTTGTCGTTGCAGGTGTGGTGTGAAGGCGAGGGCGACAGGTGGCGATGGGCGCGTCTGGCGTCTCTGACGAGTACACGCCGCCGCGTCTCTCGCGGCTGCTGCACTCCTTGCCACACATCAATGTCACGCTGCACAGAGTGAACGACACGTTCGCGCCCAACTCGCCCGTCTACCTCGAGGTATGCTGTACTCTTGCTTAAACCGCCAAAAATGGAATCATCATTAATTTAATGCATTTCATCCGTTTCATTCATTTCATTTATTTCATTCGTTTCATTCATTTTATTGTTTCTATCGTTTCATTATTTTCATTTATTTCATTCATTTTATTGTTTCTATTGTTTCATTATTTTCATTCATTTCATTTATTTCTATCATTTCATTTATTTCATTCGTTTCATTCATTTTATTGTTTCTATCGTTTCATTATTTTCGTTCATTTCATTTCTTTCATTCGTTTCAAACCTTTCATTTATTCATTTCATTGGACCAAACATTGACGGCCTCTGTGGTCTAGCGGTTTAGCACGCTGCTTTAGTTCCGATGGTCGCAAGTTCGATTCCTCGAAAGGTATAAACATTTGTATTCCTAAGTATGATAGCTTATAACGGTCTGAGTGTTTTATATATTATGTATGAATTTACAACAAAAATATCTAATTATTAAATATAAGTTATCAATAACACAATCTTGCATACCTTACTATATGACGCTGTGTAAATTGTCCTGAGATATTATTACTATTCATCATATAGTCGGGCACCTGACATTAGCTTCTGTTTTCCACACTACAGAAAGCAGCGTGCGAGGTCAAGTCAGTTAGCGCATCGTGATAAATTCATGGTGAATGTTTTCCGTTGGAAAAGATGTGGATGTCAACGTAACGTGGTATATTGCTTGCCATTTCAAGCAATATACCACGTTATTAGCCCACATTACAAACAATTAATTGGCGACGGCTACCGCTTACTATAAGGTGGGCCGTAAGCTTGCTTGCCATTCTAATTACAGAAGTCCTATAACACATTATTTCTAATTTCAGAGCTTAGGCATCCTCGGCTCGATTCCCGGCGCGTGGTTGATACTGACACTGACTGTATTGCTGATATACCTGCTGACAAGATGCTGCGACAGGAAACAGCGACCTCCGCGCAGTATCTCTGCCCTGAAGGTTAGCTATAATTACAGCTTCATTTATACCATGCTGTCATTGACTTCGACTTTAATTAGATGGTCTCGTTAGAGTGGTACACACCGCCTTACTTCTAATGGTCTCGGGTTCAATTCCCCGCACCGTATATACATTTTTATTTATGAACTAGCTGTTGCCTGCGACTTCGTCTGCGTTTCCGTCGTTTTTCGTACAATAAGTAGCCCATGTCCTTCCTCACGGTTCCGTGGTTTTGATGTGTTTTCCTAACATTTCCCTTCACTGCTCTGCTCCGATTGGTCGTAGTGTGATGAAAGGTATACTATAACCTGCACAGGAGTATGAAGAATAATTGTACCAAGTTTCGTTAAAATCCGTCGAGTAGTTTTTGTTTCTATAACGAACACATAGACAGACAAAAATTTTACTGATTGCATTTTTGGCATCAGTATCGATCACTGATCACCCCCTGATAGTTATTTTGGAAATATATTTCATGTACAGAATTGACCTCTCTACATATTTATTATAAGTATAGATATGACCATGTATGTTTGTATCTAATTTCTCGTTATATGATGTAAAATCATTTTAAACTTGGCTTGGGACAATGTGCATTCGCCAAAAACAAGTTTAGGAAACGGGTAGGCGGAGTTTGGATAGGAACAGAGTTAAATTGATCAGGTAAATTAGAATAGGAGTGGACTAATAATCACATATACAATTATTATAGCAAAAGAAATATTACAGTAAGAAATCGATTACATATCTTATTAAATGTAATTATAGATAAATAAAGAATAATGACACTGGTCAACAGAAAAAAAATTGTTTTCTTCGATTTATTTCCGTTTCTACCTCCAATTAACGCGTATTGTTTGAATATAGCAACAGTTTTTCTCTTCAGCTTTTGTTTTTGAGTTACAGCTAACTTCCGTCATTTACTATGTGCGTTTTTTATTGAACACTGAAATATATTTTGTTGATATTTCGATATTCGTCAACAAGATGTTGTGTAATTAATCCCGATTGTTTTTGCTATATTTTTGGTTGTAAAATATCGAAAACCTAACTACATTTTTTTCGTCAAAATGATAAGACTGTATATATCAAAAATATAATTATAAAATAAAGTTATTAGCAATATCCCAGTATTTTCTTCAACTCAGAGCCATAAAAATACCCAAAAACAGAATAAAAAATGAGGGAAATAAGACTTGTGTAATTCAGTGTAATTTCTATTTAAGATATATTTCTTAGTTTATTGTTTTGAGAGAAACCACAGATTAGACAAGATTGCAGATGCAAGGGGAGACATTCTAAATATAACTGAGATAGCTGTGAATATAATCGGCCATTTCCCACAGCATTATAATGCCGGCGCCATATGGTGACCGATGCGACGTGTGGAGAACATTTTAATAGTTTATTAGCTTTTGTTTTAGTTATTAAACGCCCAAGCACTTACTTGGAATTACAGATGTGATGCATTTTGTTTTGGTATAACTAGGTCGTAATTAGAGCGGGATTACTATACGATTATTTTGAAAATGCGGGAATGATTTGATTTTTAAATATTTTATAGTGTCAAAAGAATATCAAAATAATCTAAATATTTATAAAAAGAACGATGGACGAGCTGCTCGTAACAGTTGTCATATTGTTGTAGTGAGTGTGGTTACCACAAAGACAATATTAGTATCCCTTACTTCCTCGCTAATATTATAAATGCGAAAGTTACTCTATCTGTCTGTCGTGTTTTCTCGCCAAAACTACTGAACCGATTTTAATGAAATTTGGTACATAGATGGTCTAGAAAGGACATAGGCTACTTTTTAATGCAAAAAAAATGTGAAAAGGAAAGAAGTAAGGTTGTATAGAAGTATCGTAATTTTTATAGCAAAAGCTTAAAATTTGTTTTTAAGGTTGATTAAATATAACATTCAAAGTTTGTAATAATATTACCTTTGTAGGGTAAAATGAAATATGGGATGAAAATTTTAATGGAAATTCGTCATTAGTAGTCTATTCCACACAGACCAATCCCGGGCACAGATAGTAACATATATTTTGCATATTATATTCATGAAAATGATAATAATTATATATTCTGCATGTCATGCTAAAATTTGATAACTATTTATAAATAATATTTAATGTCCTTATACATATACCTACCTATTTTAGAATTATAACTACATTCTCTACTAATCTAAATAAATATATAATTTATAGTTAATTAAATTATAATCAAGACTGATTCTGAGATTAGTTGAAGATATTTTTAGCGATACCTATTTTAATTTATAAAATAAAAAATTCTGTACAATAAAAAAAATATTATTTCAGATAACCCTGATGATACTGTCGGTGCTGTGTTGCGGTGCTATTGGCATGGGCCTGTTTGGAAATGACGATCTACACAACGCGATGCTGCAGAGCATCCAGGCCGGGAACCAATTGGCTGCCTTGGTCAATACAGTGAAGAACCAGGTAGATAATCTTCAAATAAATTTAAAACATCTGTTAAATTATATTTATTTAGCAAAGCCTCACTAAGCGATTACTTGAAGGACAATGCACGGCAATAGTTGTTCATGCACGGGATTTTCATTGAGTGTTAGAGATAGACACCTATATAAGTACGTAATGTAAATAAAGTACAATTTGCGTGTGCACCTTTGTCTCGTATTTTGTGCATATTATGTATGTATTTAAAAAAATATTTTAATTTTACACTCATAAGCTCTTCTTAGTTTGGGACTAGATGGCTTTGTCCAGGGTTATTATTATTAGTATTCCCATCTTATTATTATTATTATATATATAGGTGTTCATGAGAATTAATTAAGTCTTTTTTTTTTAACGTTGTCACGCAACTTGTTTCGTAAGAGATGTTTCGGTCGAAAAGCAGCGAATGGCCTCTGGAATGGCAACGCATGATGTCCGTTGTGCTGTTTATGTATATAAGCGACGGTTTCCACTTATTGTGAGATGGGTCGTGTGGTTTTCCAGTTATGTAAAATAAAACCGATTGCTACTTTACTTACTATGTTTTGTGTACATACCTTCGCGCGTTTCGTATTTAAAAAAAATATTGAAATTTTACACTCATAAGCTCTTCTTAGTTTGGGACTAGATGGCTTTGTCCAGGGTTATTATTATTAGTATTCCCATCTTATTATTATTATTATTATTATCAGTGGCAATCCGTGAGGAAGTAGCCATTATTATTGCTAAAAGTTGCATATAGATGGCGTGATTGGTATCGATGGAATTCTTCATAGTTTTGCAAACGTTTTAAAAAACAAAACTGTGTTTACAAAAATGTTTAATCAATTTTTAAAAAGTTATATATACATGTTAAAATGAAATAATGCGTTTAGAAAAGTAATTTTCATATATTTACTCATTTTGTTATTTTCCAGTACTTAATTAATTTAATCAGTGCTAATACGGGGCTCAATGTTTTCAAAATGCTTTCATAGATGGCATTGTTGTCATTTGTATCGGCCTAATTAAATGTCTTTTTTATATTTTCCAATAATAAGCACTTAATATATCATTATTGTAAATTAAACATATAAAAAAATTTTAAGTAAATTAAAAATAGCCGAACAAGCAAGTAATACTATTTCCAATAATACTTATGTATGAAGTGTTGTCATATTAAAAATAAATACATGTATTATCGATTTTTTTGAATAATCGATAACAGGATTTTATTACAGCGCATTATTCGATGATGCTTTTAATGAGTCGTTGTGAACAGTAAATTTTCATTATTTTGTATTATAGCAGTGTTCCGTTTCAAAGAACGGAATATAGTAGTACATTATTAGTGTCGTTGGTTATTTACATTTGTACTGAAAAATCGATTACATAATAATTTAAAATATCGAGTACGAATCGTAGTTGTCTTTGAATACTGGCAAGATTAAAATAGTATTTAAAAAAAGAGAGAAATCGACCCTAACTCGAATACCATAAAGTTGATTTTCCTTTCTCATTAATATCATAGCAGTTTGTTTTTAACTTGCGTATGACTCTGTGGTATGATGTTTAACGTGTATTGTTATTGTACGGTGCATACATTTCAAAAATTATATTTTAATGTAGGTACATACATTTCATACGTGTCAAAAATTATCTTTTAATGTAGGTACATACATTTCTTTCATACATTTCATACATGTCAAAAATTATCTTTTAATGTAGGTACATACATTTCTTTCATACATTTCATACATTTAAAAAATGAACTTTTTATGTAGGTACATACATTTCTTTCATACATCTCATACATTTCAAAAATTATATTTTAATGTAGGTACATACATTTTTTTCATACATCTCATACATTTCAAAAATGAACTTTTTATGTAGGTACATACCTTTCTTTCATACATCTCATACATTTCAAAAATTATATTTTAATGTAGGTACTTACATTTCATACATGTTAAAAAATTATCTTTTAATGTAGTGCCGTGCCGGCGACTGAGACAGGCACACGTGCGCATAGCTCGCTGATTATTATCTATTTTACTTACATATTTTGTATACCGGTTGCTAATGCATCGGTGCAGCTGTGTTTGTGATAATGGATAGTTTCGTGCGGTCACAGAGCGTTAGCTCAATTCAATCGTTAGTTCACAGTGACGTATGCGAAGATATGGCGACTAATGAGTGTGAACAGGTAGACGAAACCGTGTTAGTACATAGTGAGATACAGCGGCAAGTGGAAAAAAGGTTAAGGGAAGACAGCAGCGGCAGCAAAGATGCTGACGAAGATGGATTTATTACCGTTACTAGAAAACCAAAACGATTACTGCGTAGTTTGTCAAACAACAAAAATCAAGAAAATGTTACCGACAACTTTGAAATTATTGTATAAAGATATACTGCCCAAACAAATAGGAATGGCAAAGTTATTAAAGTCTGAAAATATTACTAATATATTGAGAATTAAGTATAAGTAAATTATATCCTTTAAGGATAAAGAAGATGCAGAGAAGTTGTTAAATTGTCAAAAGTTTATGGAATTGAATTATAGATGCCAATGGTCAAATCAAGTTTATTTTACATATGGTGTAGTTAAAGACATCGACCTCGATATAGGAGAAGACGAAATTCTTAAATTATTTGAAAGCGAACAAGAAATTATATCTGTAAGAAGGCTCAAACGATTAACAGACAAGGGTCAATGGGTTAACAGCGAAGTAATACGTCTTTGTTTCCGAAGTCCATCTTTGCCCTCGTATATTTATGGATACGGCTGCCGGTTCAAGGTGGAAACATATACATTCCCAGTCTCCCAATGCTCGGGATGTTGGAAATTTGGCCACGTAAAACGAGCTTGTCCTACAAATAAAGAAAATTGTGGAATCTCATGATAACTGTGAGACTACACAATTTGTATGTATAAGTCAGGCACTTGACAAAGGATGTCCGCTATTTATAAAGGAACAGGAAATTAGAAAGTTAATGAGCAAAAATAACTGTATCTACAAACAAGCTCTCAATTTATATGCCCAACAAAAACTTAAAACAACAAGGAAACAAAATCTCACTACTGTTAATTCGATACCAGACAATATATCTTCTACTTTAAATAGATCATACCGTGATGCACTCATGACGAAGGAATTTAATATTGATCAATTTACAGTTAATGAGGAAACAAATGACTCGGACAACAATACAGATGAAAGAACACCAAATATAACATACAAGACAGGAAATAAACCTAAAAAGAAGAAAAATAAAAGAAACCTAAAATCAATTAATAGGGAAGTTGAATTAGATGACACAGTCACTGAGACGCGAACGAATAACAATGACGATGATATAAGTAATAGAAAACATAAAGTTCCAATGATTATCAAGATATTGCTTAAAATGCAACAAATAATTTTATCCGAAAAAGCATGTGAAGAAAAAATTATAATGTGTATAAGAGCATAGTGGAAGAAATAATGTGTTATGTTATGAGTGTTATCAGTGAGGGAGATGTCATTAATAAAATATACAAAATGTTTAATAATGGCTAGATACACCAATAGTAAATGTGATATTAATATCTTACAATGGAATTCACAAAGTATACGACCTAAGTTGGTAGATTTTGATCTATTGTTAAATAGGGAAAAAATTCACATAGCAGTGATTAGCGAAACTTGGTTAGAACCAGAATCGGCCTTTAATATATCGGCGTATAATATTTTTAGAAAAGACAGGGATGATTCTTACGGTGGGGTAGCTGTGCTATGTCATAAATCAATAAAAGCAATGATAAATCCAATAGATATAGCGAATAATGGCATAGAACTTATTAACATTAAAATAATGAATTGTAAACTTATTAAAAATATTATATCTATATATTGCCCACCTTCTGTACGTACTTCTCAGTTTGATTGGGATAGCATATTTTCATGTTTCTCCACCAACTCAATTGTACTTGGTGATTTTAATGGGCACCATTCAAATTGGTCATGTAAAACTGATACAAGAGGTACACAATTATTCGATAGCTCCCTTGATAATGGATATATTTCAATTAATGACGGCAACCCTACACGAGTAAAAGTAGTTAATGGCTCCCTTCAACAAACAGCTCCCGATATAACTTTCTGTACTACAGATATCGCAATAAATTCAAACTGGAAAGTGACTAATGAAGGCCTAGGAAGCGATCATTTGATTATTAAAATTAACTTTAAGTATAGAGACAAAACAAATATAATTAATAAACGAAATTTTAAATGCGCTGATTGGGTAAGATATAAAGATGTAATAAATAACACGTTAGTTGATATAGACGTAGGTATGAATGTACAAAATATGTATGATATTCTACTAAAAGTAATCAACGAGGCTGCTGACAAATCGATACCTATAAAAAAATATAGCATGGACCCCGCAAATAAATTTGAACCAAAATCATACTGGAACCCAGAAATATCTAAAGCAATAGCTGAACGCAGATTGGCACTGAAACAATTAAGACGGAATTCTACACCTAGAAACCTTCTATATGGCAACAGAAAGTTTCAGAAGCGCAACGACTTATAAGACGAGCAAAATCTCTGCATTGGCAAAAATTTTGCCATAGTTTCCAGGATACCACGTCAGTCGCAGATATGTGGCGAAAAATTGGATGAAGGGTTTAAAACAAAAGAAGGCATACTCCTCAGAACAAGCAAAGTTAAAACTACTAGCTACATTAGCTCCTGATTCGGTATCACCCCCGCCACCAGTATTAAACGGCTTTAATTCTAATCTCGACGCTGACTTTACAACTGCAGAATTATTCAATTGTTTAAAGAGTAAAGATACGGCTCCAGGTACAATATTCTATGATTTACAACCTACCTGATGTAGCTAAACACATTTTATACAATCATATTTATCGATCAGTCCGTCCCTTCACAATGGAGAGACGTGCTCATTATACCAATTCCAAAATCCAATGAAGCGACTAAAGAACAACTAAGACCAATCACACTAGTATCTTGCCTGTGTAAAACTTTCCATCTAATGATTGTAAAACGTCTTGAATGGTTCGTGGAGAAAAACAAAATTATTCTGTAAATTTTTAGAAAAGCTCAATCATGTTTGGATTGTCTCACAGATTGATTACTCAGATTATTCTCTACGAATGTACCAACAATAGCCTGTTTCTTGGATATAGAAGGAGCATATAATAACATTTTAATAGAAAAAATAGTACATATACTAGACGAATTGTCAGTAGGGCGTAAAATGTGTACTTACATCTGGGAAATATTAAAAGAAAGGCACCTTATGATTAGAAGCTGAAGGTAAAATGCATATACGATGGACTAGTAAAGGGATCCCTCAAGGATGTCCCTTTATCCATTATTTAATATAGCTACCATAGAAATCTGTAAGAGAATGGAACAAATTTATATCTGTCAATATGCAGATGACTTTGTACTATATGCAACAGCATATAATTTTTTAGATAGCGAAACATCCAGAGCTGCTTGAATATATTGGCCAATATACTAGGTGAATTGGGACTTTGTCAGCTAACAAATCAAAGGTTTTATTTTAGTCGAGGCAATGTTTAGTGTCAATGACCAAACATTAAAGGATGCCAAAATGTTAAATTCTAGGTCTATGAGATAAGTCATTACGATGGGGAAAGCATATTAAAGAAATCCGGGAAAAGGGACAAAAATTTTTAACTTTACTTAAAGTTCTGTGGGATTGGATGGGGAATGCATCCTGTACATCTACGACGATTATACATAGCATTAATTAGGAGTAGGTTTGATTATGCGAGCCCACTCTATGACAACGCTGCTAAATGCCATACGACCAAATTAGATGTTGTTCAAAATCAAGCATTAAGGATTATAGGCGGCTTTATTAAAACCACACCAACACATGTCATGGAATGTGAACTGGGTATTCCACCTTTGTTTATCAGAAGACAGTTCCTTGCATATAAATTCTGTTTAAAATCTCAGTCATGGACCACAAAAGTAACGGCTGCACTAATTTCAAATCTCAGTGAACTATGTGACAATAGATATTGGAATAGAAAGAGAAAACCTCTTTTGACAATCTGCTCAAATGAAACCATACAAGAGAATATATCGACATCTGATCCTCTGGAAATGTTTACTCTGAGTACATGGGTTACAAATTTTAATATTAAAAATATAATTAAAACTGAGGTAGATAGTATAAAAAGTTCAAAAGGTGACTATGAAATTAATCAATTAAAATATGAGGTATTGAAAGAACTAAATACGAAATACGGTGATTGGCAATATATTTTTACAGATGGATCAAAATCTACCAACGGTCTTGGTGCTGCCTATTACGATCCTGATAGAAACACATACGAAATGTATAAAATAAAAAACAATATCTCGATTATGACGGCGGAACTCATTGCAATTTCAATGGCACTTTCATATTGTCTGAACTGTTTAAATGTAAGTAATATTGTCATATGTACGGATAGCAAAAGTGCCCTATTCCATATTTTAAAATGCGCTTCGGATATAGAGGAATATCAACAGCATACAAAATTTTAGATAAAATTAATAATTTTAGGATTAAAAATGTGACATTGGCATTGCAGTGGCTCCCAGCTCATGTGGGTCTACAGGGAAACGAGAAGGCTGATACTTTGAAAAAAGCCTGCTCTGAAGGAGTAATTATTGATGTGTTAGACTATTCAGAGATACTAAGCAAGTATAAAAAAAAGTGCTATAAAAGCTGGAAAGAATATTTTGATGAAAGATCTAAGTCAAAGGGCATATGGTATAAAACGATACAGTGCCAGCCTCCTCGTATTCCATGGTTCGCACTCACAAAGATTAATAGGCAGCACATTGTTATTGCGAATAGACTGCGTTCCGACACATTCCATTAAATAAATTTGCTTATTTAATGAAAAAAAGTGATATCCCCTAATTGTGAAGCTTGTGGAAAAGAAGAAGATCTGCATCATATTTTAATGGAATGTGTTCGTAACGCATATAAAAGAGAATATACCATCCAAGCTTTAATGTTAAATAGGTTAGACGTAGGAGTATTCCATGAAATATTGGCAGAACCAGCTTCCGATGCAGCCAAGTTATTGTTCTGGATGGTATCATATTAGATTAAGTTTTTTTAGTTTATTTTTGTTAATTAGTATAGGTACGATGGGATTGTCATCGTCACATTATGTGCACAAAAATCCCAAAAAAAAAAAATAAAGAGAAAAAAAAAAAAAATCTTTTAATGTAGGTACATACATTTCTTTCATACATCAAAGATATTATTATTGTAGATATCGAAAGTTATGTATACAAGTAATTCTGAATATTATCAAGTTCAAAATAAGCACACATTACTGGCTTAGATAATAGAGTAATATTACTTGTAATAAAAACATTTGTGACACCCATATGTATACATATTACATAGTAAGTACTTACGCCCGTGCCGTGAGACTCATCTAAGCGTACAGCGCATGCGCGTCGTGCGGTAACCGCACCGACCGACCAATAGGAGCGCGCCTCTCGCGCATCCAGAAAGTTCGCGACTAATGGACGGTATAGTAGTAAAGCAATGAGTGTTCCAGTGACATCATTATAATATTTTCTCGTTAAGTATTATTGTAATATACATAATTTCGTACTAAGTAACGTGTTCCCCCGTTACACATTTCTAACGTGTAACGGGCGTGAAAGCGAGACAAACAGACAGAGTTACTTTAGCATTTATAATATTTGTAAGAATATCGCTATTAAAAATAGGGGTTGGTGAAAGACGGGCCAAAATTTAGGCGTGTATGTAACATTATAAATAAATAAAAAATTGTCCATAATACAAAAAAAAAAAAAAAAAAATTCAGGGTAGGCCATATGACTTAGGGGTATAAAAAATAGATAACAACCCTACCTCAGACCTAGCAAGTATACATATCAAATTTCATCAAAATGTGGGAGAAATATGGCAACTAACACTGTGATACGAAGTTTATATATAAGATATAGCGGAATTCTCATTAGGGAAAAGAGGGGTACATCGTAGAATACATGAGGTATATACCAGTAAATTCATTGTAGCTAAAACCAGTCTCTTACACATAACGATTGAAATAAAAAATCATATAGCCCGATTTTGATACGTACGAGTATAAACGTATCAAAATCGGGCTATAACAGACGCGTTACAACATATCTTCGTCGAGAGAAAAAAATAGGCATGGAATGTAGAATAAACTATAACATAATATATACATTGGCACATAAGCCATATCTACAGGGTATCGGCTAACAATATTATACCTACACATTTACATTGAATCTTGAATCGTCCCTAATGAGGTACACGATACAGTTACCTACATATCTTGTATATACCTATCTTTGCAAAACAGATGTCATGTAGACTGAATTGACTGCCATCTATTTTCGTGCTTTGTTACTAAGCACCCACTAGTAATCCGAACTGCTTCAGATCTAGAGACATCTAGCGGCTACGGCGGCGAAATAAAATAGCCCGAAGAATAGCCCGAGTTAGGAAGGAACCATTTTCTTGTATGGGATGGGGTATCTGTATGTAATATTATGTTATCTGTGTTATTATATATAGGTATTCATGAGAATTACGTCAACTTTCCAGTCCAGTATCCTAGAGGAGACAATGGGTTCCCGTGCTCGCGCTCCGCTCTCTCGACTTGCGGACGCATTGGATACGCCGGTGGCTAACCAGACCGCGCTCGGCACGCTGCTCCGAGCTCTATCGACGCTGAGGAATAACGCCAGCCTTGCCACCGCTGCTGCTGACAATCTAAAGAGGCCGCTGGCTGCGCTCAACTTGGATGCTTTCATGAAGGTATTGATTAATGCTATAGTAATTGTGCCAACTGAAAATCAGCGCTGGAAATAAAATTGTTGCTTGTATTTCTTATGTAATCATTGTGTAAAACGAGTCAATAAAATTATATTCTATAGTAATATTTCTGTCAACACTCGACACCCTTACATTTGTATACGTCACCACATATCTTAGATTTAATTTACGATGATTATGTTGATTTAGTGGCACACGATGATAGGTTTAGTAATGTAGTACAATTATTACACCTGTATACTCACTACCAAGATACTATAGCAAACAAATAATTTAAGTAGCGACACCTCATCACATCATATATAACGCTACATTGGTGAGGTTATAATCATAGCGCTATATTGGTAATCTATGTCAGAGATAGACTTATTTAGGCATCTGAATGAGTACTTATATCTTTTTTTCTATCACAGTCGCCACACAGCTTGTTTCGTAAGATGTGTTTAGGTCGTAAGCAGACAAATCGCATGATGTCCGTTGTGAGATGGGTCGGGTGATTTTCCAGTTATACAAATTAAAACGATTGCTATTTACTATGTTATGTGTTCACTCTTTCGCGCGTGATTGCGCGTAATATTTCATATCATTTCACTTTTTTTTTTAATTATTTTCCTTATTACACCGTTTTTATTTTCTAAAGACATATTTATGATTTATAAATTATAAATAACTCTATAATTATGCCTTTGCTCCCTACTCAGATTTCCGCCATTTTTCAATAATAATTATTACGAAAAGTCGCTAAGGCCGATGCCGCCGATGGCGGCATGCTCTTTCTTATTCTTTTTATTTCCTGTGTAAATGCCGATTCTCGTGGGCAAAGTAGCTTATGTTTGTTTGTATTGCAGCGCATGTGGGTGTGGGAGGCGGCGCGGTGGGCGGGCGGCATGGCCGGCTGGTGCGTGGGCGGCGCCGTCTGCGTCGCGCTGCTCGCTGCTGCTGCGCGGCGCTCTCGTCGTGCGCTGCTTCTGCTCTGCGTTAGTTCTCTTACTCTACTTACTTACTAGATTATATTATGTAAATTTTAACTCGTCTGTACACTTTAAAGGTAACTTTGAGTCAAGTATTTTAGCAGTCAAGCAGTTTGCTTTGTAAGCTGTTTTCAGGTTTGAATTTCGAAGAGTTGAGAGTTTAGTTTTTAAGAATTGTGCTCCATGAGGGCGTCCTTGAGAGTCCCTTGACATTTGTGATCCTTAGGAGGTGTATAACGTGATTTCTGTGGTGCTAACAACCCAGGACAATAGACATAGCGTCATTTAGTCTGAAACTAAGTAGAGTTTGTACTGTGAGTGCTAAATAATGAATAGAAATGTTTAAATTATTTTTCCAAATGCATACAAAATACACATAAAAACAACTAGAATAGAAAAAAACTATTTCTAATGATAATTTGTTCTTTAGTGCGAGAATCGAATCGGAATCGGAAACGTAGGTGATGATAGGTGATGTAGTAAACATCCAGATAACTTGATAAAATTAGTAGTAATGAATCAGTTAGTAAATAAAGTAGTTAGTAGTAGGAATATGTCTTAACATATATATGGTTATGGGCCCTACCTTCCATCTGTTTGTTTCTGTAATGTAATACGTGTGCGTTGCAGGTGGGCGCGCTGGGAGCGCTGGTGGCGTGCTGGCTGGCGAGCGCGGTGCTGGCTGCCGGAGCTGTGGCAGCCGCCGACGCCTGTCAGGACCCTGCTGCTGCGCTCGCTCACCACGCGCGCCATGGGCTACCCGCAGACGTGAGTACACATTCACACACACAGATGCAGCCTTCTCGTGCTAAATACCGGTCACACAGTAATTTACAATAGTTTCGGGAATATGTAAATACTGGTTGTTTACCTAGTATACAGTATATAGTAGTAGTATACTTCTGCGTTACTAATATTAATAAAATATATGTTATATTACAATTATTATTTACGTTTCTTTCATTCCATTCATGCGCCATCCATAACTTTCTGTCTCATCTCCTCTACTCATAGGTTGTCAGAAAGAGATCGCTTAAGCGATAAGACTGCCTTTTGTACCTTCATACTCTATATATTATTTTCTCGTATTTTTAAGGTGCATAAATAAAACAATAATAATGATGTTCTCTATGGTCTGTACAGATGGTGCACTACTACCTGTCGTGCAAGGTGTCCCGTGAGAACCAGCTGACGGCGGAGTTGAGAGCTGCACAGCGCGCGGTATTGGCCGTGCGGCAGGCGCTAGCTGTGCTGACACGTGGAGCGCCGCAATTGTTCAACGATCCAGGTGACTCACACACGCACACTTTCTCACCTGTTCCTCCCTGTCCCCACCTGTCTCTCCCTGTTTCTACCTGTCTTTCCCTGTCTCCACCTGTATTCACCTGTCCCTTCCTATCTCCACTTGTCATCACCTGTCCCACAAAAAGATCGCCGTATTTTTGCGCACCATTGCGTGCTTTTTCTTTTTTTGTATTAAATGATTATCTCTGCAAAAAGACAGATATCAACCACGGGTCAAAGATTTATCTATATGTAATAGATTTGTTGATAATTATCTTAAACGGAAAATCTGATCTGAATATCAAAATAATTTTTTAACAGAAATTGCATACATACAACACAAGCAAATAAGCGCGAAAAGGTATAGGCATATAAAGACAAACAATCACTCACGATTGCACACGTACGCTTTTCGCACGCTTTCTTTCGTAAAATCTGCGCTACTGGTCATGCGTGAATGAAAGTTTCGTGTAATGGTTTCATGCAACATCACAATGTGCACTTAAAAAAGAATTCTATTTTAGTATTAATAGAATCGAAAATGATAAGGTATGTTTATACAGGTTTGCAGCCGGCACTCGGTGCACTAAATGCTGGAACGGGTGAAGCGGAACGGGCACTAGTATCGCTATCGGCAGCGCTGGAATGCCGCACGGCGCGGGCTTCCTTCGTTGCAGGCGCGCGAGCTGCTTGTGACGCCGGCTTACAGGTGAGAATTCAGCAGCTGCAGCGCTACTACGTGGGCCATGTAAAGACAGATGGTCCAAGTAACTACACCTGTATATAAATTGAATTTGTCAACCAATACACCATACCATACACTTTTTGATACATCCACAAATATTTAATTGCAACTTTTTATATCTTAATTACCAACAACTTTACATTCTTTTTCATCACATTTTTATTTTGCATTAGTTGGTACAAATTTATGAATTAAGACCCAACAATGATATGGTCCTTCGAACCGGATTTAATATTTTGATATTTTCCCGACAGGCGCTGACATTGCAACTACTCGCCGCGATAGCAGCCGGCTTCCTGTTCACGGCAATCGTGTTAGTTGATTCACACGCATGGATATACATTAACACAAAGTAAGTATATTGAACTTATCCTCGTAAAACTCTTGTAACTTCCTCCTTTAGCAGTTTTTAAATCAATGCGCTGCCTATAGGTAGGCGCCATGCGGCGATCAGTTATAAATTTGATAAAAAAAAAAAAATAGTGCGGTTATATCGCTCGATGTTTTACGAGCTGCTTTATCGTATACGTATCGTAAACCGGAGATATTAGGTGCACTTTGCGAGCAAGTGTGTTGAAAATAATAAAAGCCTGGTACTGCACCACGCTTTTATTATTATTATTTAATTATTTTTGCAGACGGTCGGGCACGGGCGAGGAGCAGGCTCCGTTCCTGTCGAGCGGCGGCAGCAGCGCGGCGTCCCGCACGCTGCCGCGGCCGGCGCCGTTCCCCAACGGGAAGCCGCCCTCCTACAGCGCCGCCGTGCAGCTCATGGACCTCGGGGAGCGCGAGCGGCCCAGGCCAGTACCCGCACGCACTTTGTAATCTATACACATTTTATACATTTTAGAGTATTAGGTTTTTATTTGCATTTCATTACTTAATTTATTATTTTGTTTCATTCCGTTATCGTTAGTATGTGTGAGACCAGAAATATTCAAGGTACCAGTGGAAGATGACAAGATGAGCATGAAGTCTAGTCAGTTGGTCCATCGTGGCGAATTTATCGTAATAGTTTCCTAGTGCGCGGAGGACTATTTGATAAGATACGTTGCTAGCAATGGGGTCACTGATGACCATTATTAATAATCGTCTTCCACCCTATTCTTTTTAATGGATGATTATAGAATGGTACACCCGCCTGCACTAACGATTTGCATACGCTAGCACTGCGACTTACATAGATCTATTGTGCTCGCCCGATTTCAAAGTTCGCTATCTAGACCCGTCTAGAATTGAAGAATATTAGTAACGATGTTTTTTATCACCTCAGGATGGAGTAAACACTTTCCAAAGAGAATATTTATTTGTTTATTTATTAGTACACAAAACAGATTACAATTAATACAAGAATTTGATTAGGAGTGTGTAGTCATAAAACAAAACTGGATTGTAATCCAACACTGTATGCCTAAAAGCTAAATTATATATACGCTAGATAAGGCTATATATAATAAAAAGTAAAATAAATAGAAAATAATATATAATTACGTAATACTGTAAATCATTATATATCATTTATGCTTCGTTTATGTAGGATAAAACCTTTCCTTTATACGGATAAGTCGGGTACAAAGATAGTGAATGGACGGTGTCCGGTGCAGGTCGCGCATGTCGGGCAGCGCGACGCTGGGGCGGGGCGCGAGCGGCGGCGGGGGCGGGGCCGGGGCCGCGCTGGGCGGCGCCCACACGCTGGGACGCGCGCCCCACAACGGCAAGTACGCCACGCTCAGCAAGCAGTGCAAGACGCTCGAGGGCAACGACTTCTACTGAGACCGGCCCGGCGGTGGCGCGCATCTCCCCGAACACAACGCTGGTATGTACACTGCATTTTTATACTATGATTATGTCTAAAGAGTTATAAATAGAGCTAGCTATGCTTGGAGTTTCTTTAAGGGATGAAATTCGAAGCGAAGAAATTCGCCAAAGTACTAAAGTCCTCGACATAGCTCTTCGTATTTAGTAAGTTAAAGTGGCTGGTCATATCTGTCGCAGAACCGATGCTCGCTGCAGTAAACGTGTATTAGAGTGGAGACTGCGAATTGGCAAACATAGTGCATACGTAGGGTTTCGAGTAATAACTGGAAGATCGTACCCGTGAGGCGTACCTTGGGAGAGGCCTATCTCCAGCAGTGAACTGCAGTGAGCAATTAACACATAAATATGCAAAACACATAATGTACTTCTTTCCGTCTATAGGTGACGAACATCTTTTTCACCAGCTTACTTTGTCGATGTACAATGATAGCGTATACATCTGTTGCACTGTCGATTCAACAGTTGCAGGTCAGGCGGGTCGACAGGCGACCGCCCTGAACCGCTTCGATCCGAAGTACGCGTCGTTCGGTCCCCGCGCGCCCCGCCCGCGCCCCGCGGCCCCCATGCCGTCGCTGGGCACGTTCTCGCCCGCGCCGCCCGCGGCCGTGTCCGGTCCCGGGCCCGGCGCCTCCGCCGTGTCCGGCGACAAGTACGCCACCGTCCGGCCGCCGCGGCGCGCCGAGCCGCAGCCGCTGTCGGCCGCAGCGCTCGAGTACCGCTCGCTGCAGCGGCCGCGCCGCCAGCAGCCCAACACGGCCACGCAGCACCGCCGGCGACCCGACCGCACGCAGCACCACGACCAGCGCGATTTGTACGCCGTCACAGAACTATAATGGCCAGGTAGTGATTTGCAAATTTAAACCGTCTCCCGTTGTATTAAAATTCATCTTTGATCACATTATTTTTGGAGTTACATCATTATGTACTTCAAGTGATGAAAACGCATGCAGCACTACGAACAGCGCGACCTTTACGCTGTCACAGAACTATAATGGCCCGATAGTGTTATACAAATTTAAACCGTCTCCCATTGTATTTAAACACATTTTTTTGGAGTTTCATCATTATATACTTCAAAGATAACGGTGATTATAATAAGATACGGTATTATACTGAAGGAATTGCAATTGGTCATTTTAAAAACCGATATCACGACGGGGAGGATGTAGCGCCACGCGTATTTCAGATCGAACGAGACGATAAGTGAACGAATGTATTTTTGAAATTGGAAGTCTTTAAATTACACGATAGACGTTTAAAGTGATAATTAAGGTTCCAAAAGATTGGCTGTAACTAATGTCCACTCCAATATTACTATGCTAATCATAGTAAATTAAAAAGAGTGCACGATGTACTATATGTACGTATATACCTATTATGTATTATAATATTTATAATATATTGACTACATGCGTGTTTGATAGTGTACAAGTCATTCAAGACTTTGTTTTCTGGAGTCAGAATGGTCAAAGCCTATTAAGAACGGTGTCTAGGTTGATTTTTTTATTAGCGCATTCAGTGTAGGAGAAATAGAGAAAAGACGCTCTTTTTTATTTGTAAATATATTATATTGCACAATTAATTATCTTGATTTAAAAAAGACTTAATCGCCATTCATTTGAAATTGCTCAAACTCATAGTAAGTTTGCGAGAATTGGTCTAATATTTTTAGTAGCAAAGTTATATGATATCAAGAAAATGTTTAAATTTTTTGAATTGCACAAATATTGTAACAATAAACTTTTCTATTGACTTTAGAATTTCACAGGCCTAGATTTTACACTGCTTAATTATAATATTTTTAATTAAATATTAAAATTACAGTAATGCAATATTGACATAATGTAACATGAAATATTGAAATGGGACATTCAATTAAATGCAAACTATGGTCATCACTCACGGCACAGAGGATGAAATATAATATAATCTGTATTATTTTAGATATGGATACAGATAAAAATAAACTGACAGTTGTCCATCTAGTTTGGTTACTAATTTGGGTTGAGTGTTATAGAAGTTAGTGAAGACAAATAAAACCATAATTAGGTTTTTTTTGTTTTAAACTTGATATATTTTATAAAACGTCTGTAATATCTACACTGAAACATTAAGATTCCATTTTTTCATTTTTTCAAATTGCCTTTGCTTTACATTGCTTTTTTAAATTTTACACTGTTTTATTTTTGTGATATTTACGTATATAAGATGTTCATTTACTTTTTTATTATCTGTGCCGTATGTGACCACATTGTCTCCATGTTTAAAACGTCTAAACTTGTCCATAATAAGGCTGTGTGAAATAAACTGATGACCAATAACTATATTATATTCAATTACGTCAATAATGGTTTTTCTAAACGTAATCTTATCTCTAGAATGTATCGTTACAGATCCTAACTGTACGTTTTTGACTCTGTTTTTCGCTCAATGTAGGTTTAAAAGCGGTATGGTCTATAAAACGGTTAATTTAACGGTCTTGTCATTGACATAATGCCAAATGGGTGTCAGAAATGCGTTTAAAAGTGCTCTGTTTATAAGCGATGCAAAATTTTCGTTAAGTAACTCACGTGCTATTATTACACGATCATAATATCTTACTATTTTTTTCTTTTTCTTACTCCTATTCAATTTTTTTCTACTTTACTTTAATAGATTTGTGTAAGTGTCTAATTATTTCAATGAAGTGTCCATAAGTGAACTATTGTTCCATTAAATAATAAATGTATTCACAGTACTATTATATAGAGTTTATAGAAAAGAGCATATTATTCCTTAAAAGCCACAAGCTGGTTTGCCAATAAATCTATAAAGACTCATTTGTAATACTAAATTCTACAATTTTGCAGTATATGTACAGGTCATCACAGTTCCAATTGTAAACCCAACAAGTTTGCTGCCTTCTGCAACTCTCAAATGGAATTTCCATAGAGAATCATCAACCCAAAAAATAGGTATTCAATTTTTAACATCAATGCATAGTTAGACTTTGGCATTCCATTTGGTATTAGGTCAGTGTCTTTAACGTTAATATAACCTTACTATAATGGCGCTTGATAAAACTAACGGTAAAATGGAGAGATGCCAAAATGTAGTAAAGTATGATAATTGGCATGTTTTTTAAATAAAGTAGAATGGCTTGGAGCCTGAATTGTAGAGATTTGTTCGTACTGTACATGTATACCTATACAGTTTACTTGTACATATAGATAAATACTTATATATTGTTTACTATAGTCGACCTTTGTATCATTCAATATTTCTAAATTTATTTATATTAGCATGTATTTAATTAATATAACGAGAAGTGAAAACATAGTTACAATAATGCATTTGTTTAGAATCTCTTTCGGTATAGCAATTTTTATCATTTTGTGTGTACTCTATGTACAAAAGCGAAGGCTCAAGGCGTTTTAACTAGGTAATTGTAGGTGACATAATGTATATAATAAGTTCTTTATAACTAACTTATTTTATTTACAGATAATAATTAAAGTTAATTGTAAATAAAATAATATTTAATTAATTAAGCATTCCATGGTACGTGAATTAGAAGTGGAATTTGTAGTAAAGCAATCGTCATACAATACATAACCTTAAAATGTTGTATATAAGGTGCAAAACGAAACTGCCATTTGATGAACAAAATTAAACAGAATGTTTATACTTAAATAAAATTGTAGTTATTAATATTAAAGGACAAAGTACTGCTCTTGCTATAACACCACAAGTTTGTAATTGTAAAAATTTAATAATTTCGATATGTGATCATGAAAATAACTTTTGTATACACTTATATAATAAACAAAAATATTCCCGCCAAAATTTGACAAGTCGATCGTGTTATTTTTTTATAGCACTACATATGCGTTCACAAGACAGGTATAGGGCGAGAAATCTCGTGGCCTCGATATAAAAATAAAATCGACAATGTCAATTTTGGTGATAGCCAATATCAATCAAATTATGAGAAAACTATACATATATTTGGAATACGTTGAAATTGCAGCTCTAAGCCTAATCCGCAAGATACGTATTCCAATACAGCAAAATAGTGGTAGAAATAATTTTAGATATATTTTACAAAACTCATTATTTTCGTGATCACTACTAATCCTTAATATATCGTATTAGCTGTATTTAATAAAGTAGAACATGAAATAAGTGTAATTAATACCAGATTTATTCATACGTGTGAAGCCGACAGTTTTGTAATTCAGTATTATAAATAGGAAATTTTGTGAGACTTTACAATGACGTTCGTACGTTTTTTATGGTCATGTAACTTTTTTTTCGTCTCTAAGTTTCGAAGTACCGTAAGCAGTGTATTCGCCAAAGATAATGCATAATTTACATTAAGTATGCCTATTTAGTGTTAAGGTTATTTTAAGATTCCTAAAAAATACTTATGACGGTCATATTCCGTAAATTGAAAATATAAAATTCTCTAACGTAAGTTTTAATGGAAATTATAAAGTCTCTCTATGGTCTCTATGGATATACTGGTTTTTTTTTTGCACACATATGTATTATGACCGTCATATATGTAATTCGCTTATTCCATCTATACAGAGACAGTTTCATAAGAAATGTTTAGTTTTCATATACGCTTACATCGCATTGTCTGAAAAGAATATCCGATTTCTGAAAGTTTGTCAATGATATTTAATTAGTTACATGTTATTTTATCCACAAATATACCGCCAAAATATAACATAGTGAAAACTGACTTTTTTATTGGTTATTTACAACATACATAGTTATGTTTCCTTTATTTTTTCATAACAACAGTCCACGTACACAGAATAATTAATATCCTGTACACCTAGTCTATAATCTGGTTTTTGGATATTTGTTTTCATTATTATCATCTTTCAAAAATAGGGTGTCCAATTTAGTAAATTATAAGTTTCTTTTTTTTTTAATAATTGAGTAAACCTTATTAATCCATTCAAAACATTCATTATTGTTAATGTATTTAAAATGATTACAGAGTGGTTCATCGAATTACTTGCGGTATTTTACCATTTAACTAATATGCAATAACAAAATTTATATATCTACGTAAGTTACACGATTTTCCAATGTAATTATCGCACTTTTGTATTTATAAATATACACAGTTGTAAAGTATAATAAGTAACATCTTTCGGGCTAAAGTTTTTAAGTGGTGTCTCTTTTGGGCTAACTTTTTTATATCTTTTTTTTCTATTACCGAACGACAAATACGATATGGACTGTGGATCATAATGTAAAAGTAAAACACTATTGTAGTTACCACACATTTGTTTTTTATTATTAGATGTTCAGTTTTTGTTTGCAATCGCATGCCAGAAGTAAAATATCGAATGGTATGATTGTAGGTTCAATAATATTTTTAATAACTGCTATCACACATCGTGTTGTCTTCTATCTCTTTCACAACGCAAATTAATGTATGCTAAATAATAACGGATTGGTTTTATATCTATCTCTCTTACATTAAGTGTGACTTCATTATGAAGTGGTATTACAAAAATTTGCACCATGAATATGAAATTGAAACTTATTATTTTTAATATTAATGGCC